CACCAATACTGGGCCATAGGCAGACTGCTGTAATGGTTAATTAAACCACTGCACCACATTTCACCCCCCAGCCTGGCTTTTCCAGCTTTAATTTCCAGCCCCCAGAACTGGTGTCTGCCTGCAAACACAAAACCCCCAACATTTTGGTTATTTTAATTTACTCAGTGCCTCGCTGCCATGCTCATCACTTGGTAGCAGCATATGGTGATGGCTGTGATTATTTTTTCTGAAGAAGTGTCTTCTCTCCCCACTTCCTTCSCTCTGCGTGACTGTTCTGTTTCTTTTTCACCTCTTTTTACGGTCCATCTGCTGATGTCACTGGCAGTGAAGSAGTTAACATTCGAGACATTTTGGGGCTGGTGGCAGACTTGGACATATGCAAAAGCAAATGAGSGAATGCTGCCCTGGGAAGCGCCTGTTGCTCATATTTCCACTGAACTTGGGCTGGGCAGGGCAYAAAACCCAGTCAAGTTTATGTTCTGGAGGCTCTGACTGCATCACATCCCTGGGTCGTGTTTAATTATTGCCAAAAAAGCTGATTTTAGTTGTTCTGCCTCTGATTTTGTTTGGTTTCRAGCTCCCTGTGAATTCGAGGCTGTGATTTTGTTCTCACGGCGCGAGGTTGGAGTTGAAYGAGGAGACGAAAAGCGCAGGAAACCGAAAGCTGCTTGGCCTTAAATGCCTTAAATGTCCCAGAGGAGGCTGGAGCGTGGTTTTTCTCTGCTGGAAGGGGATGGATCAGCTCTTCCCTGGCCTGGATGTGCACAGCTGGGATCGCTTTGTCCCAGCCTGCAGGGAGGGGCTGATCAAAGGGCTGCTCGAGCCGCGAGGTGACGTTTTCTGTGCAAGTTTTAGGATTATATAAACTGGGATTAACTGTGCCAGGCTGGGAGCTGCTCCTCGGTCCTTGCTGAGACAGCTGTGTCTCAGGACTGTCATCATTTAAGTCATAAACTTATCCACGTGAAAAATAATTATTTTCCTTTGGTTTTTTTTTTGTCCAAAATCTTGCTGCTCCTTCTAATTTCCTTCTAATCCTTCCGATTTCCAGGCAGACTTTATTTGTGTGGGATTTATCTCTGTTTTCCTGTCCTTATCTCCCCACCTTCCTTCTCCAAGGGTTATCCCTTTTCTCTCCACCTTGGCAAAGCAAGGAGAAGACAACAGAGCAATTTTGCCGAAGCTGTGAGAGGCTTGGCTCGGAAAATTTTTGGGCATTTCAAAAAGATTACTTCATGACAGGATCTGCAGAATTCCTGCCAGGCTGGGTCTTTCCAAGCTTAGAAGTCAGGCCTTCCAGACCATGAGACTAATTGGAAAAAATAAAGCAGGAAATCAAATGATGTTTCTTTGTGGTGTTTGAGCCATTAGAGAGGGTCTGGATTTGAGATTTCCAGAAGGAACTCATTTTCCTCTCTGAAAACTGCTGGGKTCAGGCAATCACCTCTGCCCAGGCTTACAGGGAGGAAGCCAATTACAACTTGCAGAAATGGGCAAAACTTAATTTACTAATCATTTACCAAATAAAAATAAACTTTTACCAAGAAATCATTGGTGAGTAAAACAACTGCAGGCTCAGGGAATTTGCACCTGTTTGGACCAAACTGATATTTCAGTGTGTCCTGCCTTTATTACTGTTTAACAAAACTCGAGGTAAATTTTCTTCCTGACCTAGGCTGGGTTTATTTTTTTTTTCTTCTGGACGCCATCGGTCCCTGTGGTTTGACCATTTTTCTGTCTCGGGAAGGAGCAGAAAGGAGCTCTGTGAGTCAGTAAAAGTCATCTGCATCACTGTGCAGCGTTTTAGGGTCTGCAGAGCCTGACATTCCCAGTTTGTGAGGGGTATCTGGGATTGCTGATGGTGCAACATCCCAAAATATCCCATCAGTGCTTTAGGGAGATGATTTAGGAGATAGGTGCTGGCTGTGAGCAGTTTGCAAAGCAAAAAGGATTCAAGAAGATGCTGAGGAAGTGCAGGCAGGCGTGAGGAGCTGGTTTCACACCCYGTACCTCCCAGCTCTGTTAATGGGGTGCCTCTCACCTTCCCCATCTCGGTCCCTCGTGTGGAGATTTCCCCAGCTCGCAGCCACTGAGTCACCCCTGGGTGCTCATCTCCCCTCCCTGCTCTGTGGGGAGCTGAGTGCAGTCAGGAGTCAGCAGATCAGTGCTTTCCAAAGGTTGTGTCTCACCCACATCGCGCTGAAAACGTCACCTTTAAAAGAGGGTCAGGGTGGGAATCTCCTCAGTGTCACGGTGTAAATTCGGTGGCGTGGGCTGCAGAARTGCCCATTTCTCATTTCTCCTCGGTTTTTCTCAGAATTTTCTCATTGGGTGCCTCGCTGAATTTTTAAGTTGGTCAGCAGTGTGAAGCTGTTTGCCTCTGGGATGAATCATCATGAGTCAGAAAAGATTCCTTACCTCGAAACCGCTTCCCSTGGTGAAACCCGAGAGAGGAGGGGACACATCTCAGTCTCCCTCCTGCTACAGAATGCCTGGGAAAGGAAAAGTTTTATTCTCTTTATCAAATGCTTGTTTCTTTGATTGATTTGAAGTTATTGGGCTGGTGCTGGATGCCTCCAAATGAACATGGAATAAAACACTGCTGAGCCAGGTTGGACAGGGCTCAGARCAGCCTGGTCTKGTGAAATTCTTATCCCTAAAGAATAAAAGTTTTATTCTCTTTATCAAATGCTTGTTTCTTTGATCGATTTGAAGTTACTGGAAATTTAACAGTGATTTTTCCCTAATGTTGACTTGAAAGCAATTAGAGCAGACAGCTGATGAAGCATTGGTAATGTTTTCAACAGCAGCAGTGGATTATTTAAATTTTCATGCTTATCTGTGGTTCTTGGGAGCTGCCTGTAAACCCTCAGACATCCCAAATTCCCTTTGCTTCTGCCTGCAGGGATTAGGAGCCAACGGCATCCGKCTGACCATGGAGAGCGCTCTGACCGCCCGCGACCGCGTCGGGGTGCAGGACTTTGTCCTGCTGGAGAACTTCACCAGCGAAGCTGCTTTCATTGAGAACCTGAGGAAACGCTTCAAGGAGAACCTGATCTATGTGAGTGGGGTGGTGATGGTCACCAGAGTGTCCGTGGGTGGCCTGGGTGTGTTTGGTGACGGCCTCAGCTTCCACAGACTGTGCCAGGACTCACTGCAGCGCTCCTGCTGAGTTCTACTGCCATTCCCAGCACTGGAAATCCATCCATCACCACATTTTTCCATGTCCTGACTTCACTCACTTCCACCAACCCCAGCCTTGAGCTCAATCCTAAATGTGTGTCAGAAATCTCTGGGTATTGTGGTTTGTTAGGAGCCCTAAAGCCCTTGGCAGGTGCTGTTTACCTTGGCCTGTTTGGAATCCCTCAGCAGCATCCCCAGCACCCTCTGACCCTCCAGAGGAACACTTCCCAGCTCTCCTGTAAACTCCCTGCTGTTGATTCTCTTTCCCAGACCTACATTGGCTCCGTCCTGGTGTCGGTGAATCCCTACAAGGAGTTGGAAATCTACACCAAGCAGAACATGGAGCGCTACCGCGGCGTCAGCTTCTATGAAGTTTCTCCTCACCTGTGAGTGCCCCACGGGGACAGGACAGGCTGTGACATCCCCAAAAGGGCTGTGACACGGGAAAACAGGCAAACAGGGCTTTTCCCTGTCCCTGAAAACGCTGGGGACAGAAAGGGACAGCAAGGGACAGAAAGAATCCCGCAGAGGGTGTGGTGTAGGGCTCTTCCTATTCCCGTCGCTCTCTCCGAAGAGGACGGAGTCGCCTTTGCAGGAGCAGTATTTGGAAAGGGAGTTGGTTCCTTCCTGAAGGCAGGAACAGAGTTGCTTACCCAGCCCTGGCAGGACAGGAGTTCATTGTTCCAGGGTTATTTGGGGTCTCTGTGTCCGGGCTCTGAGTTTCCCCAGCACGGGGCTAAGTAGGGGAAAGAGTTTTTGCCGTGTGGGGGTTTCTTTCCTACCTCTGCCGTTACTCCCTGACCAATATTTATCTGGTATTTCCCTTGTTGCTATGATACCAGCAGCCTGTTGGAACAAGGAATGTATTTATTTACATGGTCTGGCCTGGTGAGCATTCCCAATTTCCCATTAAAAAAAAAATTTGAGGTTTTAAAGTTATTTTTGAAAGTGTTTGAATGTTTTTTGTCAGGCTGAAAGAAAAATATGACTGAGAACTGAAGCCTTATGCCTTCAAAAAGGTTATTTTTTCAGGATCAAGGGCCAAATTCTGAGCACCTCTTGGAGGGTTTTTTTTTTATTTGTGTTGTGTTGAGTTGGGTTTTTTTTTTTTTTTTTAAGAGATCTTGGAAGAGTAAATGATATTATTTTGGAGCAAACTATTTGGGTTGTTTCTTATTGCTGGCACATAGCCCAGGAGAGTAAACAAACCCTGAATGTGCTGCAAGCACAGAGAGGGGGAGAGAAACACCAGAACTTGGGAAAGTCTCAGCAACTCGAAGTTGGGTTTGTTAGGACAAAAATGGGATTTTTATTGCTTGATCCCAGATGGGGGAGGATTAACCCTGAAAAAYCCTGCATTCAAACCTGCTCTGTTCCAAAGGTGCCACTTTGCATGCGGTCAGGGAAGGGTTTCTGTGCCTTAGATGTGAATTTTGGGATTCTCTGGAAAAATCCTTGGGATTGTGGCTCTTTTTTAAGTGGGTACAGGGTGCTCATGGATAGGATGAAGCATTAAAAATGTGCTTTAATTCCTGWRTGTGCTACATTTAATCYCAGTGTAACTGATTATTTTTTAAGWTTTCTTTCTCCTTTTAACCACTCCCTTCAGAGGCTGTAAAATGTGCAGCTCATAAGGGAACCCTGGAGAACTGTGATCCTGGATACCATTGCTGCTCCCATTGGGAAAACAATATTTTTTGTGAACATTTTCTGATCTTTCATTGCATTATTTCATTATTTGTGCATTTAAAAATCCTTCAAATGTTCCATCTGCAGTGCAGCGCTCTGGGTTTCCCCTTCCCCAGTAATTCAGGTGTATTTTTATCCTCTTTTTCCTCCTCCAAACCGACTCTGGAAAGCCAAAACTCTTCCAGATTCCAGCGTCAAACAGTTTGAGTGTAGCCCTTAGCTCTGGGTTTTTGGGAAGTGCATCACGTCCAGAGAAGTTATCCCTGTGGATTACAGCAAATTCCCAGGGATCTGTCACATCCTGTCCWGTTTATGGCCTGCCAGGGCTTCAGCTGCAAATGGGACCATAAACATCTTCAACCTCAAGTGATTCTGCCTGTGCTGTGCTTGCTTGGGGTTCCCTGGGCCATAAAATGCACCCCATAAAGGCACAGGGGCCAAAGGCACTGCTTCAAACYCGAATTAAATTAGATTAAACAAATTTCTTTCAAACTGAATTTCGTTTGAGYTTGAAAGGAGTTTATTCAGCTGTTTCCAGAATGCTCCAGAGGCAGGATTTGGATGGGGGGAGAGGGCCATGGTGTGTTTTGTGGGGTGAGGGTGGAGCTGTGTTGCTAAGGGAGCTCACTGGTGATGCCTTAACACCGAGTATTAATAGACACGAGAATGCCATGTCTTGTGTAGCTAATCACACTAATTGGTGTGATTATTTCTAATTAATATCACAGCGGGAGAGTTGAGGAAGAAAAGAAAAGATGAAATTAAAAAAAAAAAAATCAGGCTACTGAAGGGTTGTCAGGTGTATGTAGACAGGATATCTGCTTGATCACTGAACATAAGACAGCTGAAAACATTGTCAGGGAGGCTGGCTGAGGGTGCTGTCCTTTTYCTGTCCCTCTGTGAGATCTGTCACCATTGTCACTCGCCCTGCTGCTCTCTGGGTGTCAGATCCTGGCCAGGAGCACAGAGAGGAAAACAAAAAGCAGCACAGGAGGAAGCAGAGGCAGGGCCAGGCTCGCAGGGGGAGCTGCTCGGTGTTCAGGGGGGCAGAGGGAGCCTGCAGGATGCTCTGGGGCGTTCACCCAGCTCTTCCCAGCATCCAGGGGGAGATGAGAGAGGCTCTGGAGCTGCTCTGGAGCCACCCAGACAGCAAAGTGCAGCTKTGACCTCCTGAGTGTGTCATCAYTTAGAAGAGAAGCAAGAAAAAACAMCAGCGGAGAGYGAGGTGAATGTAAAACTTGTGTCCCATGGGACCAGCGTGGAGAGATCACTTATATTTAGAAAAGTCAGTTATCGGCACAATTTAGTCGACTTCTACCTTTTTTTGGTCTGAAAAAAAAGTCGAAAGAACAGCGTGAAAGAATTTGGCAGTTTGTGTTTGCACCCCGCAGAACCTCGGCTCGGTGGTTAAGATGTGTCAGAGGTGTCAGTCCCGTCCCCGGTGCTCGGGAGTAGTGTGATCCCACCCATCCCGTGGCCTCTGCCATTTTTGGGGGATTTCTGCAGGGATTTCACGGTGTGGGATCTCTGGGAATCACCCTGAACCCGGCTGTCCTTCCCCAGCTATGCCATCGCGGACAATTCGTACCGCTCGCTGCGCACCGAGAGGAAGGACCAGTGCATCCTCATCTCGGGCGAGAGCGGCGCCGGCAAAACCGAGGCCACCAAGAAGATCCTGCAGTACTACGCTGTCACCTGCCCCGCCAGCCAGCAGGTCGAGACCGTCAAGGACCGCCTGCTGCAGTCCAACCCCGTGCTGGAGGTAATTCCTTCCCCCGGGAGCGCGATTCCCAGCGGTGGCAGCGCGTCCTGGGGCATCACCGGGAATCCCGCTGGGAGTTCTGGCACGGCGGGGCTGCGGGGACAGAGGGGATTTGCTTTGGGAAGGGCTCGGGGATCACTGCAAAGGGGCAGATCCCAGCGGGCAGYCCCGAAAGGCGCTCCTTGCCTGGTGCTGTGGTGTCCTCTAGTGTCCAGCGCATCCMGTCCTGCAGTGCCCTGCCCTGTTCCCGTGCCCTGCATCCCGGGAATGCCGCTCCCAGCAGCCGGCCCCGCTGGCAGCGAGCGCTGACAAATGGCTGCGATGACAGAGGACGCTCGGGAAAGGCTGTCAGACGTGACATATGTTGTCAGCAGTGGACTGGCATTAGAATCAGCTCGCAGGGAGGGTGGAAGCGTTTTCAGAGGATGTTCCATCTGCGCTGGGTGGAGAGATCAGCGTTAGAATTCGGGGAGCAATCTGTCTCCTCGTGGGTTTCCAGGAAGGAAAATCCTGGGTTGTAAATAAATAATTGGCAGCTTCACCAAGTGTTTATAAATAATCTGACTCGGTTCTCGTTTATTTGTCTCTGGTCATTTTCATTTCAGGCCTTTGGGAACGCAAAAACCCTTCGGAACGACAACTCCAGTCGGTTTGGGAAGTACATGGATGTGCAGTTTGATTACAGGGTAACTTGGGATCTGGTTTCTATTTCGGGACTGGGCTCAGTCCTGGCTCTTTGCTGTCTGTGTGTGTGTGGTGAGTGCTCTGCATTTYCTTGGTGACAGCACAAGCAGAGTTGGGGACACTTGGGGTGCWGAGGGTTTTATAGCCCCCTCTCTCCTTTCATTCCTCCTTCTTTCTCTGTATGAGATCAAATCCTTTTATTTCCTCATCCTTTGTAAGTTCACTGTGCCAATGGATACTCCCAAAATAAATCCACCCTAAACCATCTGTGACCCCAAAGGGACAATCCCTGTCCTGTGTAACCCTGCACAGTGTTTGTGTCCACTCTGACCTCAACTGCCCCTCCCAGGACACAGGGCAGGAGTTGAGCAGCTCAGCACTGCCATCCTGCAATCCTTGAAGCCTCCTCTAATCCCTCCAAACTCAGTTTTGGAGCCTCCTCTAATCCCTCCAAGCTCAGTTTCGGTGCTTTCCCTTTGTGGTGAATTCCTAGAAGGAATTTTACACGAATCACTCAATGCTCAGCTGTGTTGGAGCTGAAATGGAGATTGTGGCACACAATGACAGATCACTTTCTGTGGTTTTGTAGCCTTTTCCCTCAGATCTTGTCTCTCAATAGACAGCCAAAAAGCAGGAATATTTTCCTCTGTGCTGATGAACCTTTTCCACGTKTCTGCTTTGGTTCAGGGGGCTCCTGTTGGGGGCCACATCTTGAACTACCTCCTGGAGAAATCCCGAGTTGTGCACCAGAACCACGGCGAGAGGAACTTCCACATCTTCTACCAGCTGCTGGAGGGAGGGGAGGAGGACCTGCTGAGGAGGCTGGGCCTYGAGAAGAACCCACAGCAGTATCATTATTTAGTGAAAGTGAGCATTAATGAAAATATTATATTACAGGAGCGGGATATTCTTTGTAATTTCCCTCCCTGGCTTCAGAAATGAYTGCTGTAAAAAGAAACAGACAATGCATTGAGCGTGGATAAGGTATCTTTGGTGATTATTTACTTATTTCTGTCAAACTRTGTCTTTTTAGGGTCACTGTGCAAGGGTCAGTTCCATAAATGACAAAAACGAGTGGAAGATCATGAGAAGAGCCCTGTCTGTTATCGGCTTCAATGACAGCGAGGTGGAGGTGAGCTTTGGCAGCACAGATTTTTCTGCTTTTGGGGAATTTCTCTGCTTTGATTTGGGATTTCTGATTGAAATCAGCCAATCACTTCAGAGTGATTGTGTCCTCAATAAAAATCCTGAAAAATACACAAAATATTATTGTCAAATGTTGAAAAACACACAAAATATTCACATAAAATGTGAATTAACACAAAACCCTCACTGTGTGTTGATTCCATCCTCCTGTTGCTTCCCCCCAGGACCTGCTGAGCATCGTGGCCAGTGTCCTGCACTTGGGCAATGTGCAGTTTGCTGCTGATGAGCAGGGCAATGCTCAGGTCACCACAGAGAATCAGATCAAATACCTGGCCAGGGTGAGTATCACCAGCGAGGCACAAACTTCAGAAAAGGTGAATTRGGGAGATTTCCTTATTTTGAGTGTAATTTCTGAATGGGATTTAGAAATCCTCATAGATGTTACTTTATTTGACCTAAATAAAATGCARATATCATCAGACCCCTTTAACTGATGACTTCTCTATTTACCTCTTTAATGGTGAATTTAATGGTAAATTTAATTTCATGACCCAGCACTGCCTTGAGGTTTTCCCCTTCAGACAGTGAGGTAGGAACAGACTCTGGAGAAGAGTTTTAAAGAAAGAACCACCTCTGTTTCTTTGCTTAGAACACTTCCCTGTGCCAGAACCTTCCAGCCAGTTCATTTGTTTGGTGATCTCCCTGCCAGAAAGGGGGGAAGGGAGGGATTGATGCTGCAGGGAAATCAAGGGTTTGTTCCACTGGGCTGGGATTTTAGGAAAATGCAATGTACAGCTTCGTTAATTAATTCATTCATTAATTAATTTATCCTGTTTACAGTTGCTGGCAGTGGATGGCTCTGTCCTTCGTGATGCCCTGACCCACAAGAAGATCATAGCAAAAGGGGAGGAGGTGAGAACAGGCCCTGAGGATTTGGGGTTGGAGCAATCACAGGAGGATGTCACTGCAGGGTCCCACTGATGTTCAGGACTCTTTTGAGCAACTTTTTATTAATGATGGAGCAGGGAAAGGTGATCCCTTGTTCTGGGGGTGCTGAGTGTTTTTTCTGTGCTCCTCCCTGCAGCTGGTGAGCCCCCTGAACCTGGAGCAGGCTGCCTATGCCAGGGATGCCCTGGCCAAGGCCGTCTACGGCCGCACCTTCTCCTGGCTGGTCAACAAGGTCAACAAATCCCTGGCTTACAAGGCAAGTGACCCTTCTGTTTGTAATTTCCAGCCAAATGGGAGAGCAACTCCCAAATCTTCCAGCTGCAGAGCAATCTCCGTGCTTTCAGCCATTTCCAAATTAACCATTTCCCAAATTGAGCAGTAAACGCTGGAATTAAATGATTAGGATCCACTGATGGATKGTAGCCGTGAGTAAATACCTCACTTTTTTTTGCAGGAAGAAAAGTTTCCAGGCTGTAGAAGTACAACAGTTCTAGGATTGYTGGATATCTATGGATTCGAGGTTTTCCAGCACAACAGGTTGGTTCCAATCAGGGTCTGGAGATTTGGGTAAATTCTGGATGATTTTGTTTTGGTAAATTCTGTAAATTTGGTAAATTTGGGTAAATTCTGGAGGATTTCGTCACTGTTTTCTCTCCCTTGTGAAAGAAGATTTTATTTCATCTCTGGTTTCTCTTAGTAAGAGAAAGAGGTGGCATTTCAATGTCAGGAAATCAGGTGAAAACCTGATAATCCCAGGCTGCTCCCGCCTGGGGCATCCAGCTTGTGTTTACAGCTGTCAATGGTCCTGCTATTTTAAATAAATTTCAGGTGTTTTTGGGGGTGCATTTATGCCAGAGCTTGATCTGTGCCTCTCCCATCTCTCCAGCCCAGGGGTGGCTGTTGTGGCACCTTTCCATGGTGGTGATAAATCAGGGGATGGGACTGTCACAGTGTGGAACCTCCCTGCAGGTGGCAGTGAGCTGAGATGTTCAGATTTGCAGTGTTATTGAGCCTTTATCCAGAATTTTTGTGCTCCATCCCATTTTTCCCTCCTTCTGGAGCTCTTCCATGAGTTTCCCTAAATAATGAATTTTATATACTTCAGGAAATAAACCCTTCACAAAAAAACCTGCTTCTCTTGTTTCACCATATTCGTGCTGCTCCCACAGTTTGTACCTCCTTTTACTCACGCTCCAGCCTCAGTGATAATTTTTCTGTTTTTTCTCTGCAGCTTTGAGCAGTTCTGTATTAATTATTGCAACGAGAAATTGCAGCAGCTCTTCATWGAACTGACACTGAAGTCAGAGCAAGAGGAGTACGAGTCCGAGGGCATCGCGGTAAGAAGAAAAAAATAAATCCTCCCTTTCAAATCCTCCCTTCCCTCTCCTTCCAGAGGCTGGAAAAAGAGTTGCTGCCACGATTTCCAAAGGAAAGGAATTAAAGAACTTYCATTTTTCCTTTCTTTTTGAAACCCTGGTAACTGTGTGATGCAGCTGGAAGTGAGTAATGCCATCCCAAGCTTTTACCCTGATTTCARTAAAGGGAATGTTATGAAAACAAATGTGATGAGTGAAAAATCTTCAGTTCAAATTTGACAGAAAGATTGTTTGAGTCAGGTGCTCCCTGAAGTGTTCTGAAATTTAGAGGGTGTTTTTTTCCGGTCTGGAATTGTTTTCACCTAAGTGGGATTTCTTGTCTTTGCAGTGGGAACCAGTTCAGTATTTCAACAACAAAATAATCTGTGATTTGGTGGAAGAGAAATTCAAAGGCATCATTTCTATCTTGGTGAGTTGAAAACACCTTTTTGAACGAAAAATCTGGGGTGGCGTAGTGGAAAACAAGGGGAAGAACACGGGAAAAAAAACCACTTTGTGTTGGAACTGTTCGAGTAGGTGGGAAGAGCAATAATACCCTGATCAGTGACACCATAAAAAATGATTTTATCTCCTCCATGGGCTCTGGGGAAAGCAGCTCCCAGTCCAGGCAGTCTGMAAGGAGAGAAATGTTTTCCTTTTCAGCTCAACAGCCCTCGGTTGTTGAGCTAAAAGCTGAATATCTGCAGAAAGGCCAAAGAGCCAAACCGGGGGAAGGTTTCAGTGAGGCAGAGCCTGGTCAGAAATCCCTGGAATTGTGTTTGTAGGATGAAGAGTGCCTGAGACCAGGGGATGCCACAGACACAACGTTTTTGGAGAAACTGGAGGAAACRGTGAAGAACCACCCTCATTTTCTCACGTGAGTGTTCCCAGAGCCTGGAGTGTGAATAAACATYGCACTCCTGGTGTGGGGAGCAGGGGCATCCTCAATGTGCTGGGTCCCATGTAAAATATTACAATTTTCTTTTATAAAGAGATTTGATTGATATTTAAGATGCTATAAAATAGGTCATTAACACTGAGTGCCTAAGTTTCAGGATAAAACAGAGATAACAAAATTCTCATTCTGACTTGCCTCTTCACCCTGCAGATTGTTTACTTCACTTTTGGAGCTCTTTTTGAATGTTCTGCTTTTGTTCTGAATGCTCATCTTAGGACCTTCAATGTGCACACAGAACCACTCTAAACGAGCACTGAAATTCCCCTTTTAATTAAAAACATTTAATGACAYTTTGATAACTTTATTTACTCAAAAATCAGCGAGTCCCGTTTACATTCCCTGCCCACCTTTGCACAGTCCCACTGCAGGATTGAATGTCCCAGTGCTCTCTGAAGTGAATCCCCCAGAAATTTGTGTCTCCTGAAGGTTTTTGSTCCCTCCCCAGGCACAAACTCGCTGATCAGAAAACTCGCAAATCTCTGGGACGGGAGGAGTTCCGGCTCTCGCACTACGCCGGGGACGTCACCTACAGCGTTGCAGGTAATTTGACACAAAAAAAAACCCCAAAAAATCTGGGCTTAAAATACAGCCCCACATCATCTGATCAACCAGAATAATTTTAAATCTCAAATCCCCGCCTTGAAATTCCGGTGGTTTGTTTTTCTTCCAGGTTTTCTGGATAAAAACAATGACCTTCTCTTCAGGAATCTGAAGGAGGTGAGTGTGGATGGAGGAAGTTGGGTTTGAAATGGGCTGGCACCTGAGGGAAAGGATTTTCCTGGACTCCACATGGAGTCTGCACTCTGCAAAGAAGTGATTGAGATCCCAGGGTTTATTTTATAATTATAAATAATTTTATCCCTGTGTTTCTTTGGTATCTCGGTGAAGAACGCTCTGTACTTCACCTGTGAAAACTCTCTCTGCAGACCATGTGCAACTCAGAGAACCCCATCATCAACCAGTGCTTTGACAGGACAGAGCTGACAGACAAAAAGAGACCTGAAACGGTGAGAATTCAAGAGCTTGGAGGGACCTGTGGCTGTTTCCTCTTTTTTAAAACATGAACTGTCTGACACGACCTGAATTCAAACCCCTCTGTGTTGTATTCTTCTGGTTTTTAGCCAGCTCCAAGCCATCCCTTCACGTTTTCTCCCTTTTCTCCCAGGCAGCAACTCAGTTCAAAAACAGCCTGGCCAAACTCATGGAAATCCTGATGTCCAAAGAGCCCTCGTACATTCGCTGCATGAAACCCAACGATGCCAAACAGGCTGGTACGGCCCTGGGGACAGAGACAGTGCTGGATCTCAGTCAGAAAGGCACAGAGAGGAGCTCTGAGAGATTTTTTTCAGTTTGGGGCAGATCCAGAGGTKCTGTAGGGAGGGGGTGGCAGTGCCAGCAGCCAGGAATTGGAATGGGAGCGCTGGTCTGTGCTAGAGGAGGCTCATGGTTAAAGTCAAGATTATTGACCTTTGTAAATTTGTTATAATGACCTTGTTCTCCCTCATTTTGGTTTGTCTAAGCATAAAACATCCCAAAGGAAGACTTCATTTTGGAGTTAAATATAAATAATGAAAAAGGAATTGGGAGGGGAGAAGGCAAGAGACCCAAAATTGTGTGGGAATTGGGCTGTAATTGGAGGTTAAAGATAATTGTGGGAGATGTTTGTGGAATGAGGAACATTCCCCTTCTCCAGAGCAAGAAAAAGCTGTACCTTGATCGTGTTTTCCCATTTCCAAGATCGATTTGATGAAGTCCTGATCCGACACCAGGTGAAATACCTGGGCCTGATGGAAAACCTGCGAGTGCGCCGAGCCGGCTTCGCCTATCGGAGGAAATACGAAGTGTTCCTGCAGAGGTGAAACTCCTTGGGAATTCTTTCCCTTGCTCCTCCCTCTCCCTGGCCTTCATCCCATTGATTTTGGGGCTGGGAAGTTGTTCTGAACAGCACAACCCTGGAGGGATGCAGAGCTTGGCCTCTCCTCCTCCTCACAATTCACTTCTCTCCCTAAACTTTCTTCTCCTTCCTATTCCCAGGTACAAATCCCTCTGTCCAGAAACATGGCCCACGTGGGATGGGCGGCCCTACGATGGGGTGGCTGTGCTGGTGAAGCATCTTGGCTACAAACCTGAAGAATACAAAATGGGACGGTCAGTTCTGCGTTCTGAGCTTGAGCTTATGAACCACTGGATGTCCATTTGAAATAAAAAGATTTGAAATAAAAGCTTTTCTAGATAATGGGTGAGGGAAAGATTAGAGAGTCACAAGGGGGTGCCTAAAGGAAGTTTCTCCAGCATGTTAAATGTAATTCTGCATTTCTGTTTCTAGAACAAAGATTTTTATCCGCTTTCCCAAGACCTTATTTGCGACAGAAGATGCTCTGGAAGTGAGGAAGCAGAGTTTGGGTGAGGCACTCACACTTGCAGTGGATTTCTATTGAAAAGTTGAGTCTTTATCTGCCAAAATCTGCTTGGTCACAGTTGCAAATCGCTGCTTTTCTTGTCATTTCAGCCACAAAAATGCAGGCRACGTGGAGAGGTTTCTACCGCCGGAAGAAATTCCTGACCATGAAACGCTCAGGTATGAGARACAGAAAGAGGGAGAGATGTTCTCCCCCCAAGCAATTCCCATATTTTTCTGACATTTACCCAATGTATCATATCATTAAAAAACTCMTATTTTTGCCCCCATGCCCCAGTGAAAGCTGGTTATTTCCAGAATGGGTTTTTCAGAGCATTTTTGGTGCCAGTGTTGTCTGGAGTCGGTTTGGGGATGAAGGACCTGACTAAATCCAGAATTTTGGTGTCTTTTTTAGCCATCGCCATCCAGTCCTGGTGGAGGGGAACCCTGGGCCGCCGAAAAGCTGCCAAGAGGAAATGGGCAGTGGAGACCATCAGGAGGTGKGTGAAGAGTGGCCCAAGCCCTCAAAAATCACTTTATTCCTTAACAATAAAACAGCTAACAATCAACTTTCTTGTCACTATACAGTTTTTAAAAATTAATTACAGCTATTAAATAAAACCCAGGAAATGGAATCTGGAAACACCACTAATTTTTGATGACTTTTGAAATTTTCTAACAAAGTTTTCCACACCCAAAGGTTCATTAAAGGCTTCATTTACCGGAACCACCCGCGGTGTCCAGAGAACGAGTATTTCCTGGATTACATCCGATTCTCCTTCCTGATGAACCTCAAGAGGAATTTACCAAAAAATGTCTTGGACAAATCGTGGCCAACTCCTCCCCCATCACTCTGTGAGGTGGGAATGGCACCTGGGATGTGGGAGGGCAATCCAGGGCTGGAGGATTGCAGGTTTTTGGGGTGTGGTGCTGTTGCAAYACCATTTTCTCCTGGTTTCCTCATCCATTTCTGAAATTCCCATCTATTTTCCTCCTAAAAAAAAAATCCAGTTTCCTCTATTGCTGTTATTATTTTGCATCTGCTTGAATTGGTTTATCTGCTCAAAACAAATCATTGCAGAAAATCCTAATTATCTTACCCCAAGGTCCTTGTTTGGATTGAAGGAACAGCTGGAAGGAAGAAAGGAAGGGCATAGYAGTGTAGAGAGGAGGGATCCTGGTGTTTATCCCCCATTCTAAAACAGCTGGAGAAATTTCAGGACAAACCCTGAGAAAAATAAAATTTCCTGAAGAAATATAATTCCTGAAGAAAAACAAAATTTYCTGCAGAAAATAAACTACTTTACTWTTGAATTYTTGGTCAGGAAACAGCTTTTAAAYCCAGCAATGCATTTTCTGCAGTTGTTGCTGCTCTGTTGGCTTTGTCAGAGGTTCTGGGATATTGAGTTTTTGTCCCTGTTGGGTTTGTCCYTATGGGTTTGTCAGAGATTCTGAGCTGTTGAGTTTGTTCCTGTTGGGTTTGTC